GCAATATATATATCGAATGTATCGCTTCGCATTAACATACTTGCTAGATTGTGGAAAGTAAGTGTGTTTCCTTGCATGACGCCTGCATATTAAAAAACAAACGATTGTATGAACAGCTTTTTTCCCCATATATTTGAACATTTTGACGTCCTCTGTAAATGGGGACTGGACATTGCAATTCATAAAACCGCAAGAGATGATTATTTATCTGGCCAGCATGTTGTATCTGGCATCGATCGTATAAAATGTTCGAATGCAGAACTCGGAAATTAAGTCTGCAATAGAAAAAGCGAAACTTGCTGACCACGGCTATGGGTTATCTAATCAGTCGATTCCTGTCGGCTCTGAGAGGGGAGTTTCCATCGTTGACCACAGGCGCGCTTAGATAAACTGTTCACTCAGCATAATTCGGACATGTTTGTGCCATAGCAAACTCTGCCTGCTGATTATCGTTATGATACATTTATAGCACACTTCAAGACCTTCAGGCAGATGGCTACGCGCCCTGTAAAATTTAACCAACGCAAAGTAGATCGAAAATGGATCTCTGGTGAAAGCAGCTGTTTGTTATCGCATTTTTTGTCCGATGGGCGAAGCGTTGCTAATAACTTCACTGACTTTATTATTATTATTTCTTTTCTTTGGTATTGTGTATTGCGAGACAACATCTAGGGTCGTGCGCTGTACGAAATAGCGTCTGGAACTCAGCTTTTTTGCCTTCTCTTTTTGAAAATGAACTCTGGTCAGGTATAGAGGTATAGAGGGCATTTCCAGGTATAGAGGGCATTTCAACCAGTGACTTACGTGGAAATTTCGACACAACTAAAAATGTTTTGCTTTCGTTTCTACACATAATATTATCTCGAATGAAGGAATTCCCATTACCGTAAAAACGGCAGCAATTACTCCACTCTCTAATGGTGGGGCTCATAAAAACATAGAACATTACCGGCCTATTTCAATCGTCCCCTGTATTTGCAAGGTGTTATAAAAGCATTTGTGATCAACTATGACTAGCTTTTTCTTTTTTCTTTTTTTTTTTAAGGCACAGCATTTTGTCGCCTTATTAGTATGGTTTTATTCAAGGTCGAGGTACACAAATACTTGAGGATTTCTCTGATATCCTCGATTCATCCTTTGAGCGAGATCAAGTTGCTCGCGCAATCTTTTTGGCCGTAAGTAAGACATGTGACAATGCATGCCGCCCAGACTGTTGGAAAAAAAACTTTCGAGGTTGGGATTTTGTGGTTCTTGTCTGGTACTTTTTGAAACCTTTCTACAGAACAGACGTCAATGCGTTTCGATTGGCCAGTTTGAGCTAGGCACCTTCTCAACACTCAATGCCTGTGTTTCCCAGGGCCCTGTTCTGAGTCCACTCCTATTTAATATTTGTGTTAATGACCTTCGCAGTGCGCTGCTGTAATTTCGTTGTTTCAATATGCTGACGACACTTATTTACTGCAACAAGCTCCCCAGATGCGATATCTTCTTTGCGAGGTGCGGCGATTGAAACTCTGGATTGGTTTGCAGCGAATTTAATTCTTGGTAGTTCGCCTGAAACAGAACTTGTATGTTTTCATAATTCTTTAAAGAAAAGGTTGTAGCCGCGTGTCCTTTATTGTTACTTACGTCTGATTGTTCATCGTGTTCTTGTGAACCGGTGAAATATACATCCACAGTATCTTGGACAGTTGTTCGACAGTGACCTTGCGTGGAACTTCCATCTCGCCCACTTCTGCAAGAAACTTCCCGCACTATCTTGTTTGCTATATAATGTATACGATAATATATGCCGTTATGGGATCGAAAAATTGTTGGACGCGCTTTGGGTGACAGTATATTTCGAAATGGCACAAGTGTGTATGATCGTTGTGTTCTACGTTGGCAAACTAGAATTAATTCAATTTTGCGTTCTCTGTTAAAAAGTTTTTCGTACGATTTATGCTCCGGGGAAGAAACAAAAAAACAAAAACAACATAGATGTGTTTAAGACATTACTTATGCCCGATTTTAATTCGCTACTGTTTGAAACGGTTGTTGTACATTGGCATTTTTGGTCTAGCCCTTTTAAGACCCCCTCTACGTCCCTGCACGTGATCTAAGGTCTAAAGATAGCTTTTGAACGCCTCGGCTTTCCACGACATATGGAAAAGGAATTCGCAGATACCATGTTCCACAATTCATGAACAAACTTACGCCAAGTGTTCTGAATGCCGATCCCAAATGCAAGCTGAAACGGGTTTTTGAGAAGCATTACCTTATCATTAAAAACGTTATTCTATAAATAGTTTTTTTTTTATTTTTTACTGGGGATCTTTATTTAAGAATCTTGTTTATATCCGTTTCGTTCTGCCGACTGACAGGCACCGCCAGACAAGTTCAATGAGGCTTGGGCGGGTCGGATCCTCGTATTTGTTTATTTCTGACACGTAATAAAATATTATTAATATTATTAGTTTTCCTAGAAGTCGGGCAACGCTGTTCAAATGTCGAATTCGGTAGAATTTTACGCAAACGTCAAAAGTTCGCCGAACCAGTCGAACCTCAAATTCGCCGAAAGGTCGCGACGTCTCTATTTATTACACCCTCTCTTCTGACGTTCGTTTGTAAAGGTGCACCTTGTTTTTTTTTTGTTTTTTTTCTTCAAATTTGTTAGTACATACATTTATGCTATACCTGAAAAACAAAAGAAACATCACCATAGTAAGCCTACGGAACAAAGAAAAAAGTTAATTACCTTTTTCTCTTTATCTTTTTTTTTTTTTTTTTTTTTTTTTTTTTGCGCGTCTAAGGCGGCAGTGTTTTCTGTAGAGGAGGTCTTTGTCCCGAGAATATTTCATTCAGACGTTGACCTTCGCTTCTTCCGTTGATGCTGTTGTTAGCGTCCACGGTCGTTCTCCGGAGAATCTATCGCTTGTGCTCAACAACGTCGTCTTCGCTGTGGCTTTTTTAAAAAAATTGTTTTTTTCTCTGCGAAGATTGATTTCTTCCGTGGTCTCTCCATCCAAACCGCCATTTTCGCTTCGCTTTTGCCCTTGTGTTCGTTTTTTTTGTAAGCTTCTGTACTTCTGTCCAGCCCACGTGTAACCCACACCGCGCGACACGGTTTAGCGCGAACGCGAATTTTGCGTTTCTGCGCATTTTCCTTGGAAAGGTACTACTGGCGGGCATCAAACTTTACCGCTTAGGTTAGTACTCCAACTGAGCACTTTCCACCACTATGGTAGTTTTGAAAAACAGCCCTCCAATACTGAGAAGAAAACAATAACAGCAGCAAAAGAAACAGAGAAAACATCCGATCGCTTGTTCGCGCTAACGGTGCGTGAACAACGTACGTCATTGTTAAAAAAAGACCCTTCCAAGAGCGCCATCTAGTAGCCGCTACGCAAAGTACCCGAGTCCGCCGTCGAGGTTCGGCGTGAACTGGGCTCCGCTGGACAATGAGTCGGCATCATTCGGCGATGTCTCGGACCCAATCACACGCTTGGTGCCCCCAAAAAATGACGACCGCCAATTGACGTTTCTCGATGGAGTTTTTAAAAGAATGCATTTTGGGAAAATTCGTTTGATTGCAAACTGGCTGCGAGCGAGCAACTTTAAATTACAAGATTTGGCGAACGGCAACAAAACTCTATTGCAAAAAAAAAACAAAAAAAAAACACTTAATTACGCGTGCGGAGTGCGTTTGCGTCCGACATTTTCGTATCAGTGTTACGTCTCGGAGATCTGCATTATACCTTTTTTGAGGGGATGCGTGTTTCTCTGTGGTTGCGGTTACATAAATCAAGCAGTAGTGTATCGTATCGAGAAGAGACGAATCTTACTGGATAGAATCTGACTGCATATTTTTACCCACTCTTATTTGCTTTTATCATCTGCAAAAGCACACACATTTTCGTTTGCAATCTCAACGAAATGTCGCGTTTTCATTGGTCATATGCCGCCCTGGCTGTCGGAACAACGCTCCCCCCCATCGCAGCAGATAGTTTCGATCTTTGATTGCTTTTTTGTTTTTAATAGGAAAATTTGCCGCGCATCGTTATGATTTATGGATTTCTAGGACGCTTAAAGGCCCGCAGAGTGAGTTATCGCCATATTTAAGCGATCTCAGAAACCTGCTCAAGGCATATCTTAAAGATAGATGCCAGTGCTCGATTGAAGCACCGACACAGTATTTTCGCATTGTGCCCTCTGAACCGATAACTCAAAAGTGTGTATTTATTTCTTGACGTGATACTTTGAATTTTTGAGCTGGGTGAAAACTTTCCTTAGCAGGTGAAACTGCGTATGTTGGCATATCATTTCATTTCATTACTAGTGCGCGTGGAACTCCAAATTTCGACCTGTGACTTTTTTTTCTTTATTTTTTTTTACCGCGAAATTGCAAATATTGACTTTCATAAAAACTTCGTTTTTTTGTTGTTTTCTGTGAGGGTGAGATTGCGAATTTAGACTTGCTTTATTTTTAATGCTGAGTCATGTCCCACATGCACCTGGTGGCTTGGAGCTGGCTCTGTAACAACATCAACTTGGAGATAGCTGCATTTATTAATAGATTATCATAAATATGATTGTACTTCAGCACGAGAGACGTATACTCATTGCTTCTAAAGCGCCATTCACACCCTTGCAACCGAGTACGACCGAGAGAGACCAGACCGGTTTTTAAGCCTCTTGCGACCTCTTAAAACCGAGTGCACTGCTGCGGAGTTGGTCCTAAGAGATCGCAAGAGGCTTAAAAACCGGTCTTACGTCACTCTCGGTCGTACTCGGTTGCAAGAGTGTGAACGGGCCTTAATAACGCACTGGGACGTGTAGTTCATTACTGTCACATATAGCGCTTGTTACTGTCTAATAAACATAATTTTTTTTTTTTTTAAATTTTGATTGACTTTCTGTTTGAACCGTACAACAACGGGAATCAGCCTTCGTATTTATTGAACGTTTCTGCCCATTCTCGGTTTCGTTACGATGCTAATATTGTGTTTTTATCTTTTCAGGTGATATCGTCGTGCGATCCCAAGCAGAGTTATGAGCTGGTAAGTGCGAGATTACTTTTTCTTCTTTCTTTATGCCTTCTCGGTATAACGAGGCAATGTAAAAACGTGCGTAGGCAGTAAGTATATGTATGCTCTTTACGTTTGGTGTCCATTTCCTATGCGAGTAATTTTTCGACACGACCCGTTAATTGAGTTAAAAAATGAAAGCCGTTTACAACTCCCTGTAACGCCGAATTCGAGCGCAGCTTTTGAGGAGGAGGAGGGAAGGGTACTGAGGGGAAGGTATATCCCTCCTCTCTCCTCCTGACTTCCTCATCCTGTCTGCTACTCCTCCCTCCGAGCGGCAGCGCCCGTCGCCGGGGTCATGTGACCCCTATGAGGTCACGTGACGATGACGTCATCAGTGACGTCACTGTTGACGTCATCACCACTAGTGGCGTCGTCAGTAACGTCATTGGTGACGATGGCGGTGCCGATAACGTCACTGATGATGACGATGGCGATGCCGATCCCGTCAATGATTATGTCATCAGTGACGTCACGCGTCGCATAATGAACCGCGCGGTTACGCCGACGGTGATGGCGACGCCGACGCCGCTCAAGTCGGATCATGGGTGCCTAAGAGCTGCGCTTTAAATGCGGTACGCTCGATCGGCGCCTTTGGTCGTTTCAAACTTTTAGCGAGGTTCGACCAACACCTAACCTGCCTCTCTCGCAGCCCAACATCTCTGAGCTCAGCAGCGCGACTTTTCGCTCCATTGGGCTTCGAGCCGCTGTGCGCCAGCACCACTCGGCCACCGATCCCCGAATTTGGCGCGTGATTTAAAAACACGACAGAATAAATAGAAAAGGTAGCAAACGGCGCTTGTGCTTGCTTGCTTGGAGCGCGGCTGTTTTTCGAGGTCATCAGCCACAACCCCCGCTGTTATATTGCTACCCCCCAAAATCGAGCCCCCTTCCCCCAGTCAGCTTGTTTTGTTTTTTTTGTTTTTTTTTAGCTTTACTCGCCACCACTTCGCATCAAATCGAAGAAGTGGGGGAGGAAGAAAAGTCGGAATAATTAAAAATAAAATAGAGAAAGTCAGAGCCTAAAAAAGTAAAACGTAATTGCCGGCAAAGAAACAAAGCTGTGATCGAGGGAGGAGAGAACAAACTACAGCGAGTAGGATTTCTCAAGAGGCGCCCCCTCATAAGGGTCCCCCATCGACGTTTTTTTCGGCGGTGCATGCCGAAGCGCGCTTTCGAGCGCGCCCGCTCGCTTTGGCCCCTTGGATAGCGCTCGCCTTTTCTCACGACCTCCGCTGATGGTGCTCGACTTTGAAAAACCTCCAAGGACAAGCTCCATTAATACGAAACTCCCCCCCCAGCGGGGTGCGAAACCAACAAAGAGAGAAAAACCTCGAGCGGGTCAAAAACAGTTCTACTCTGTCGATCGAGCTATGTGTGTGTGTGTGTGTGTGTGGGGGGGGGGGGGAGAGAGAGAGAGAGAGAGAGAGAGAGAGAGAGAGAGAGAGAGAGAGAGAGAGAGAGAGAGAGAGAGAGAGAGAGAGAGAGAGAGAGAGAGAGAGAGAGAGAGAGAGAGAGGAGGAGGAGGAGGAGGAGGAGGGAGGGGGA